TGTAACATTTGCCTAATTTTACGTATGTCAGTTTTTACTTTAGTACTTGTCGGTTTGTACTGTAACATTTGCCAGTTTTTACTGTAACATTTGCCCAATTTTACTTTAGTATTTGTCAGATTCTACTGTAACATTTGCCTAATTTTACTGTAGTATTTGTCAGTTTTTACTTTAATATTTGTCAAATTTTAATGTAGTATTTGCCAGTTTTTACTGTAACATTTGCCCAATTTTACTGTAGTATTTGTCAGTTTTTACTTTAATATTTGTCAAATTTTAATGTAGTATTTGCCAGTTTTTACTGTAACATTTTCCTAATTTTACTGTAGTATTTATCAGTTTTTACTGTAACATTTGCCTAATTTTACTGTAGTATTTGTCAGTTTTTACTGTAGTATTTGTCAGTTTTTACTTTAGTATTTGTCAGTTTTTACTGTAACATTTGCCTAATTTTACTATAGTATTTGTCAGTTTTTATTGTAACATTTGCCTAATTTTACTGTAGTATTTGTCAGTTTTTACTGTAGTATTTGTCAGTTTTTACTGTAACATTTGCCTAATTTTACTCTAGTATTTATCAGTTTTTACTGTAACATTTGCCTAATTTTACTCTAGTATTTATCAGTTTTTACTGTAACATTTGCCTAATTTTACTCTAGTATTTGTCAGTTTTTACTGTAGTATTTGTCAGTTTTTACTTTAGTATTTGTCAGTTTTTACCGTAACATTTGCCTAATTTTACTCTAGTATTTATCAGTTTTTACTGTAACATTTGCCAAATTTTACTGTAGTATTTGCCTAATTTTACTGTAGTATTTGTCAGGTTTTACTGTAACATTTGCCTAATTTTACTGTAGTATTTGCCTAATTTTACTGTAACATTTGCCTAATTTTACTGTAGTATTTATCAGTTTTTACTTTAGTATTTGTCAGTTTTTACTGTAACATTTGCCTAATTTTACTGTAGTATTTGATGTTTTCATTGGCATTTAGGCTTTTTATTTTGTCTCGTACAGTTTTACGCAGCGATTTTATAAATAATCAATTTAAAGATCTGTTGTTATTGAAGCTTCAGCAGCTCACATCGTTGTTTCAAATAAATAAATATAAAATTACTAAAAGAAACCAAAGCAGCAGCAGCGGTTCTGAGCGGGACAGAATCGGACTCGATCAGAGGAACCGGTCCAACTTCAGCTGATGCTTAAAGTTTTTATTTTATTCAACAGGACGGCGTTAAAACCATCAAAGAAAAGATTAACTGTAAAATGTTAATTACAAACTTTTTCACTCGTGGTAAAAAGAAACTTGGAGCCGATTTCTTTTACACAAACTTTATTCCAAAGAAAAACAAACCTACATCATGTGACAGTGCAGAGATCTAAATAATAATAATAATAATAATAATAATAATAATAATACAAACTGCAGCAAAGAGAGAGTAAAGTACATTTTGAGGTCACTTCACAGAGAGCAGCTGTTTACTGTTTACCTCTACAGCCCCGTGTGTCTAAACAACAACAACAACACATTCTCACCGAGAGTCTTGCATATCGAGCAGTTTGTGAAAAAGTTTCTTAAAAATCTCAACGCGGTCACAGAAGCTGAGCTGAACTCGTCCAAACCGAGAAACAGTTTGAAATAAAAGCTTCAAACTGAGGCGATCTTAAAGTTTTTACATCGGAACTAAGAAAATAAAATGTGAGCGACGTGCAGAAATGTTTAAATGCATCGAGAAGTTTGTATCAAAGGTTCGAACCGCTCCGGTCTTCTGTCAACGCAGCGAAGCCTCGAAAATCTAAAATATTTAATAAAATCAAAACTTACAACAGCATTTTATTGTTCGGTGATTTTGTCACAAAATGTCCAAATGATGTTTAAAAGTTTTCAGTTCATCACGTTCTGTAAAAACTCCCAACTTCGTGCCCAACAGTTTGATCACCAAACGCTCCCGGAACAACCGCCGCCTCTTTGACGGTTTACACAATTATTTGTTCAGAATATTTATACAACAATATTTATACAACACTTTGAGGATTCGGTCGTGTAAGAACTCCGTCAGCAGAACTGAAAATTAGTTTGAAATCCTCCGAGTGTCAAACAGCTGCAGCTCGGAGGAACTGGCGTGAGCTGCAGGAATCAAACATGGCCGCCCCCGTCACCGGGACAGACCGGCTTCGAGTTGACGACAGGAAGTAGACGGAGGCGCCCGTCTTTACCGAGTCTTTGGTGACACCAGCTTGCTCCGACTCGGCATCTTTATTTGAATAAATCAGAAGTTTTAGTTGTTGAGCAGAAAGTGAAGGTTCGGACTCACGTCTTTATGTTAAATCATCAAACTGACAGGAAACGTGATCTGAACTCCTCGGGTCCAGACGTGCTCGTCCGCTGAGCTTTAGTTCCGACGCTACGATGAAACCAACAAACGGCTGCATCAACTAAAACTGGTTTACTCCCAGAACGACCGTTTTTTTTTTTACATGAACTCAACAAAGAACAGAAGAAGAAAAAGACACGTCCAGGTTGTGTGACGAAAACAGCTCAGGGTGAGAGACGGGGTGCTACCTCTCTAACTTTTTAGCTAGCACATCTGAATTGCACACCGCTAGGTTAGCGCTACACCAGTGCTGGGGGTGGGGGCAGTTCAGGAGGCGGGGCACCCTCCTTGTATGATGCAGTGTTTCCTCTACCATTATACAAGCACAGCGCCCCGCCCTGTCCTGTCAACACCCCCCACAACTGACGTACCGCCAAGCCAGTGGCACACAATACAGATGTGCTAGCTTAAAAGCTACAAACGTAGTGCACCGTGTCCCTCATGCGGAGCAGTCTACCCCCGTTCATCGGTCGTCTGTAAACGTTTTGCTTTATTGAAACACTACGAGTTCCTCTGTAGCTGAACGTCGGCTTGTTTTACAGCCGAAACAGTGGAAAATATTTATTTATACACGTCCATCCCAAAACAATCCACTAAACGTTCAGCTGTTGCTCGGACGCGCAGCTACAAAACTCGATGGATCTGCACCGTGAGACCACATGAAGTTTTTTCTTGTAACAGTTTGATCTGCATCCAATCGATCGATAACCTCCAGGTGTGAACGTACCGACAGAAGAACAGTTTGTTCAGAACCAAGGCTCCGAGGTCGCGTGGGTTCAACGAGTCCATCGTGTACCACGTGTTTACGCTTCAAAACCAAGAAAAGTTCATTGAAGATGCGAGAAGATAAAATCAAGTTCCCAACAGAGGAGCAGGTTTGAGCTGAGCCTTCGTCACAAACATAAAACCAGGAACAACTCGCTGGTTCTTCTCGTTGTGTCCAACACGTCAGACCCGACCGACCCTGGACTGAAACACTCGACTTGTTCCAGCAGGAACACGTTGAACCGATCGACGGCTCCACAAACGGAGCTGGACCAGAAGAAACGAGGAAGCACCGAGCCCAACGACAGGAAGTTGATTGACATAATCAGCAGGTCCTCATTAGCACCCGGCGAAGCAGAAAAACACGAGCTCATCCGTTTCATCTGGAACACCGTTACGACTGCGGGAAGGTAAAATAAAAACCGGTTCTGTTGGACGTAACGGCAAAGATTCACAACGAAAGATGAAAACTGAACATTTTCAGCAACGTCTCACCTGCTCTACAGACTGGTTGAACCTTCAGTCCTGTCACAATTTAACTACTCCAAGTGGAGGTCTTTCAAAAAACATCTACAGCAGGTAAGATGATAATCGTTTATAACCTTTCCACAAAATGTCCCGCTTCAAACGTCCAAACCAACATTTCAACAGTTATTCCGAGAAGTCGAAGAGACTTAAGAAAAAAGTACGTTCTGGTTTTAAAGGGCTGTTTTCATGTTTTACCAGTGGATCAGGGTCCTGTAGATTTGCACCAAACAAAGTGAAGTACCGTACGGTAATAACATTCGCCAAACACTAATAAATAATAAAAAATGTGCAGCATTAAGTACAAACGTGCAGCGTACAGCCACGTGTTGCTTAGATACAATCTTCTGCTAAATGAAAGTATTAAGGTTGATCGATCAGATCAATACGAAGAGTCGAGGCCAACGAGTTGAACTCCAGCATCCGACTCTAATGTAAACATTACCTGAAGACGTCTGAAGAATGATTATATTGCACTTTTAGTCAGTAAATTAAAACGTCCAGTGAATAAACAGACTGTTGATTAAAAAGTAGAATTAAAATTCATCACAAAATAAATAAAATACAAACGTACATCTGTTCTTGGAAAAAAAAAGCTGAATGTAATGAGTTAAAGATGCTTGACGTTTCCAGTTCGTCCAGACGGATCCGCACGCATTAAACAAACGTCAACTGTAAACACTGTAACTACTGATTCAGCTCCACAACCACGAGCAGATTGTAGCAAATGGCACCGATCGGAAAACACTAATGTGGAAGTTTTTTACAACCGTACGAGCAGGAAGAACTTTAGTAACACTAACGTCAAAAAAACGTTGACTTTATAAAAATTATTATAGTGTACGAACTAATTTAGTTTAAGCACCGTAAAATGAACAACAAAAAACAAAGACTGTAATAAACTTATGATTGTAATAAATTTGTATGACTAATAAACTTGTATGATGCAAGTGTAATAAATGTGGATGAATTATAATAAACCTGTATGACTGTAATAAACCTGTATGACTGTAATAAACCTGTATGACTGTAATAAACTTGTATGACTGTAATAAACCTGTATGATGTAGGTGTAATAAATCTGGATGAATTGTAATAAAC